GCAATGTAACGCATCAAATAGTAAATAACAAATTACACTGTTCTTTTTTGTTTAACTAACTTAAATTTCACTTTGATCTTTTTTATTTTCATTTTAACAAAATTAGTCCTAGGCTTTATGTTTAGTTTTAATATGGTCATTTTTGTCTAAATTACTATTAATTTATTTTTTTATGTACAGTTCATACGAGTGGCACATGTTAAAATATTGTTAATTTTAACATTGAATTTAAATGAAAGAATCAAACTAAAACTAAACTTAAAATTTAAAATTAAAATTATCTAAATTAATATTATTAAAGATTAAAGTAAAATTTGAGTCATACTAAAAAATAAAAATTTATATTTTACCTAGTAGTAAATATCAATGGTCAAAGCAAATGACAACAATAAATAAAGGATGAGTATTGTTATTTAAGACTAAAATTTAGACTCAATTTTTAAACTTAGCGATGTGGTAATCAATTAAGATATTAAAAACAACGCTGTCTCTTATATATTCTCTAATCATCAACTAATCATATCACTTTAATATTATTAAATTTAGAAAGTGAATTTGTATATCATTTTCCATAAAGAATACTAGCATATCACCCGTGCTATGCACGGATTGTGTTTATAATTATTTATTTATGTGAATTGTGATTTTTAAATGTCTTCTTTTTTTTCTTTTTTATATTATATTAAAGTTTAATATTTTAATAATAATCATATGTGTTAGACTTTTCAAGGAATTAAATGTCTTTTTTTTATTATATTATATTAAAGTTTAACATTTTGATAATAATCATATGTGTTGGACTTTTCAAAAAAAAAATTTATGCTTATTCTTAACGCATTAAAGTGTTATTATGAGGGATAATAATCATATGTGTTGGGAATTTTCAAGGAATTCATATGTGTTAGATTTCAAAGAATTTTTTTTATGCTTGTTCTTAATGCATTAAAGTATTATTATGAGGATAAGACTTGAGGGTTGGGAGAAGTTAATAAATGCTAGGTTTTTTTTTTAAAATCAAAAAATCAAGAAATTTAAATTGGAAGATTTGAGCTCCCACAAGACTTTGGGTTAAAAACCCCCCTTTTACTTAATATATAGTATAAATATAGATATTATTTCACTAATAGGTGAAAATGTTGGGCAATAAATGCTATGTATTTAGAAAAAAAAATTTAAAATTTAAAATATATAAATCATATTTAATTCAACTGTCACTAACACCACCATTAAATTAAATTTAATCACAAATTTAAATTATAAGAACTTTTCCATTTACATTTTTCAATACTCCCTATGCATATTAGTTTTAAATGACTAAATCATATTTAATTCAATTGGACCCATTTTAATAATTCGAATAGTTTATCATGTAAGGTTATAAAAAAAATTCAAATTGATTGGATATCAATAATTAAACGATCACATAAAAAATAAGAGTTATGCTCGGGACCCCAAATATTCTACCAAACCTCTCACATGGGTGTGAGACCCACACACATGTCGATTTGTATGAGTCTCATCCCATATAAGAGATTTGGTAAAATATTTGAGATACATAACATTTCTTAAAAAATAAACGATTTACAATCATCTATTTTTCTACATGGTTGTGTGATCTGACTATTTGTGGATATCAATATCTAATTAACTTGATTTTTGTATAATTATTTTTGGATATGAATAATAAGTCTACAAAATACAAACTATACAATAGTTTATAAAAGATTGAATGAAAATAATCTTAAATAAAAAAGATATGCTCGAATGCTTTTGAGCCTGGCATTTGGTAAGGAAGTCCTCATAGCTTATAGTTTTGTGAATGCTTAAATCACTGTTTTTTAATGAAAAATATGGGGTTTTTTTTTTATGAAATCCCAACAAGATTTATAAAAAGAACCCAGGGTTGGATCTATCGAATGAGACCGTAGGGAGAGGGTTGGGTCGCTTGGGAGCACATTGTTGCTATTGAGGATCATAATCGGTCAAAAGCGCAACGTTGTTGCTACTGAGGATCATAATCGGTCAAAAGCGCAACGTTGTTATAAACTACGTATATACATACTTTTAAAAAAAGATAAAGCTAACAAACATATAAAAACTAGTGTTATTGCAGCTACGCCAGCCGAGTACCTTCAAATGCCTCTACACCCCCGCTGAACCGTTTTAAAGTATTTAATCGATAAGGAAACATTCACGGATCCCTATGACAGTTTGAGAATAATTAAAGTAACATTCAAAGAGCGTAGTGCACAAGTGATGTCTGCCGCTTTGAGAAGAATTACGAGAACACATTCATCTACACAATTTTGTCCACCCGAATAATGGTAAAAGTCTCAAAAGCATAAGAGTCTCAATTGTGTGCATTCGGACAGACAAAATTGTGTGGATGTAATCTTAAGTCTTTTTAAAAATAGCAAAATGATATACAAGCCCACTTCGTAGACCCATTTTTTAAACCCAATGATGTGTAAGTGATATGATTGATTGATAATTAGAGAATTGTGTGGGTGATTTTCTAACCACACTACCAAACAGGTACCCAGCTGGAGAGCACCGGCAGAATAGATTAAGGCCGAACGACCGGCAATATCAAGAAGAGTCTCCGGCGGTGGCTCGTCCACCTGGGGGCACTCCGACGATCAAGCCAGTACTCAATATCTCTCAAAGATAACCAATAGTGCTTAACTCACTAGACAGAATATCAAAATCATAAAAGACATACCTTAGACCCATGAGGGTGCCTTTCTTTTATAGCTAACATAATCCTAGTCCCAATAGAAGCCTAGATCTAATGGACTTAAGATTACTGCTAATCTTGGACTCTCAGTTGAATTAGGATAAACTCTCTAAGAGTCTCATTTTTACTCAAACTGACGTCTTCTTCCATTCTAGGACTCTTGTCCTTTATCCGCTTATCTCGGATTCCGACATATTCATAGATAACCTCGGCTTAGCCGAGATCATCTCGGCATCATGACCATGACACATGGTACCTCGGCTGGCACTTCGGTGACACCTCGGCCACGTGTTGTCATTCAAAAATTATGTCCCCACAACTACCCCCTAGGTTTTATGACCTCGGCATCCTGAGGTGATGGAACCTATATCATTCATTCCTTTAATCATGACCCCAATTTAACTTCAACTTGTAAACTTTTCTCAAGTTTCAACAAGTGTTAAACATCATCTCGGTTTAACTTCAACTTGTAAACTTTTCTCAAGTTTCAACAAGTGTTAAACATCATCTCGGTTTAACTTCAACTTGTAAAACTTTTCTCAAGTTTCAACAAGTGTTAAACATAATCTCAGTTTACTCTTCTCTTCTCGGACTTAATCATCTTAGGCCGAGATCTTGTCTTCTGGGTTCTGGGATCCGAGATCTGGAATCCGGGATCGGCTTACTTGGGCTGAGCTCTTGTCTTCTCATATCCAGTGTGATCTCGGCTTGACAAGTGAGGTTACCTCGGCATCTTGGCGCTTTCTCTGGAGGTAATCCCTCAGATCCTCCTTGGTTCGTCCAGGAGCTCGGCTATCTCCGAATTTCAGCCTCTTTGGTGCACTACTTCTTGTGTCATTGCGAGTCCTTTTGGACCTCCCTCCATTAGTCGCGTCGAAACAGAGGCCCTTCCCCTGAACATGCCAATGTTCTTTGGAGTCAGCTTCCTTGGTGCGATGTGTCCTCTGTGAATCTCCCCTTCTTCATTCTCCTCGTCCGACCTCCCTTGAAGGCGGGTGAGAATGTTCCTTGGTCCTATTGTGCTGAGGAGTCGTAAAAGTTGTCTTCTGCCCCCCCTGCCTGGGCATCTTTCTTGGCTGCTGGAATTGACGTATCTTGTGACGGGAACGGTGGCTGGAGGTCGTCCTTGTTATAATACTTGCTTCGGTCTGATTTTTTCGGCATGTCGCCCTCCTGGCTGACGTCCTCTTCTTCGTGATTCTTATCACGAGTTTCTTCATTGTAGTTGTCTTCTTTGACGCCAAGGTCAATATGTTTCCCACTCTCAGTAGGGGTGTCGTTCCCAACCTTCTCTTTCGGTCTGTCGTTGGCCATCTATTCTCATTTCGTTCCCACAGACGGCGCCAAATTGTGTGGGTGATTTTCTGACCACACTACCAAACAGGTACCCAGCTGGAGAGCACCGGCAGAATAGATTAAGCCCGAACGACCGGCAATATCAAGAAGAGTCTCCGGCGGTGGCTCGTCCACCCGGGGGCACTCCGACGATCAAGTCAGTACTCAATATCTCTTAAAGATAACCAATAGTGCTTAACTCACTAGACAGAATATCAAAATCATAAAAGACATACCTTAGACCCATGAGGGTGCCTCTCTTTTATAGCTAGCATAATCCTAGTCCCAATAGAAGCCTAGCTCCAATGGACTTAGGATTTCTGCTAATCTTGGACTCTCAGTTGAATTAGAATAAACTCTAAGAGTCTCATCTTTACCCAAACTGAAGTCTTCTCCCATTCTAGGACTCTTGTCCCTTATCTGCTTATCTCGGATTCCGACATATTGGCACTTCGGTGACACCTCGACCACTTGTTGTTATTCAAAAATTATGTCCCCACAAGAATATATGATAAAAAGTGTTACTTTTAATATCCCAATTGATTGTTACATCATTAAATTTAAAAATTAAATCTAATTTTTTTAAAAATCTTAAATAGGAATGCTCTTAAAAATAATACTACTTCAATTCAAAAGTTATCAAATTTGCTGTCTCAACTTTCCTTTCCATATTGGTTGTTTTAAATGTCATTTCCCTTTTATGATACTGTCGGTCTCTTCAACATTAATTGCGTGATGGAAAGAAAGTTTGAGACGGAAGAAGGGATTAGGAGACCGGACCTTGCAGGCTACATGTGCACAACAGTCCAATCTACAGAAAATGGAACCATCGACACTAGGCCTTGGCATTGACGACAGCATCTTAATTAAGCACCATTTCTTCTTATATATAAAATGCAATAGATAGAATTCATTTATCCCACAACCACAACAACAAAGACTCACTCCTCTTCACCAAACACCCACATCATCAATGGCCATGGCCATCCAAGCAAGTATAATCTCTGGTAATGAAACTTCAATTCTTCTCAAAAACGCCATCAATGGCCTTAAAAACCCCACAAAAACCCCATATACCTATCTTAAACGCATTCCTATGAGAATCCAAGCCACCCAATCTGCACACTACCCTCAACTACAAGTCCAAGAATCAACAAGCAAGCCACACAACAACAACCAAGTCCCCAAATTCCAATTCGAAGAGTACATGAAAACAAAGGCCACAAACGTGAACAAGGCACTAGACGAGGCAGTCCCATTACAAGACCCAATAAAAATCCACCAGGCAATGAGGTACTCCCTCCTCGCCGGTGGCAAGCGAGTCCGGCCGATCCTCTGCCTCGCCTCGTGCGAGCTCGTCGGAGGAGACGAATCGCTGGCAGTCCCAATCGCCTGCGCCGTCGAAATGATCCACACCATGTCACTCATCCACGACGACTTGCCATGCATGGACAACGACGATCTCCGACGGGGCAAGCCCACCAGCCACAAGGTCTTCGGCGAAGAAACCGCAGTTCTAGCCGGTGACGCCCTCCTCTCCCTCGCATTCGAGCACGTTGCGGCAAAAACCATCGGTGTCTCACCAGACCGCGTGGTTCGAGCCATTGCTGAATTAGGTTCAGCAATTGGGTCAGAAGGG